TGGCTTACGTCGGTCTTACAGCTTGGAGGCATAGTTGGCTCATTGGCGGCTGGTGTGTTAGGGGAAGTGTTCTCACGAAAGTATACCATGTTCATGGCTTGCTGTTGGGTCATTTTGGGTAGCTACTTGTACTGTGGTGCCACGGCTGGACATCCCCAATTGCTTTATGCAGGGAGATTCTTCACTGGTCTTGGTGTTGGAACTTTTAGCGGTGTCGGGTAAGTCTTGGACTTATGTGATGCCTCTGGTAGCAGTGCTGATACCGGAGAAGCCCTCTATATAACGCCGAACTCTCGGCGCCTGAGTCGCGTGGGACCCTTGTTTCTTTCTATCAATTTTGCACTATTTTAGGAATCATGGGTAGTTTCTGGGTCGGTTATGGTAGTAACTATATCGGTGGAACGGGGGAGTCGCAATCCAATCTTGCTTGGCGCCTCCCTGCTATTATTCAGGGAATCCCAGCGGTCTGTCTTGCCCTCGGAATCTGGTGGATGCCGTTCTCTCCTAGGTGGTTAGTGAAGGAAGGTCGTGATGAAGAGGCAAAACGAACACTAGCCAGTTTAAGAAAGCTGCCTGTTGAGCACGAGCTCATTCAAATCGAATATCTGGAGATCAAAGCTGAGGCCTTGTTTCAACAGAGAGCATTTGAGAGAGCGTTTCCAAAGCTTGCGGAACGAGAGAGGGAAACAAAAAGTGTCTGGATCCACGAATTCGCACAATACGCAAATTGTGTAAGGACAAGAGATAATTTTAGGAGAGTTGCCACGGCGTGGCTGGTCATGTTCTTTCAGCAGTGGAGTGGGATTGACTCTATTATCTATTATGCCTCAAACGTGTTCATCAGCCTGGGTTTGTCCGGTGGAACACAAGCACTGTTGGCCACTGGTGTTACTGGCTGCGTATTCTTTGCTTCAACATTACCTGCCATGGTAAGTTTTGTCGTTATATATCTCCTGATCTGCTTTCCTTTACTATCTTCGGGCAATCTAACATTCCACTGTAGGCAATTATTGATCATGTCGGTCGCAAGCCCATGCTTCTCGTCGGGTCCGTGGTGATGTTCGTATCAATGGTTATTGTAGGCATAATAGTGGCAAAAGATCGGCACGACTGGCCTGGCCATGCGACCGCAGGCTGGGTAGCAGTAGGTAAGTGTACTACCTTTATATTTATCTCTTTCTCCTCGGCTAAACATTTACTTTCCAGCTTTCATATGGGTCTATATTGCTGGCTTCGGTGCGACCTGGGGTCCCGCCTCATGGACCCTAGTTTCAGAAATTTTCCCACTCTCTATCCGGGCCAAGGGTGCTGCATTCGGGGCATCGAGTAACTGGGTGAACAACTTTGCTATTGCCTTCTTTGTGCCACCAATGTTCAATGCCTGGGCCTGGGGAACCTACATATTCTTCGCGGTCTTCCTTTTTGTAGGTATATTTTGGGTCTGGTTTTTCCTACCTGAGACCAAAAACAAGACCCTTGAAGAGATGGACCGGGTGTTCAACTCTCACACTGGCGAAGAAGATGCAAAGCTTCTCGCAGACGCACAGAATGATGTAGGGTTGATTGCTCTTTTATATCCTGATTCAGTGTCCCATGGTCATGCAGGAAAGGTCTTTCGGGAACAGCAAAATGAGAAAACAGCGGATGGAATTTCTAGTGAGGAGGTTAGCCATGCAGAAAAGATTTGAAGGAGCTATGTCGGGAAAGATCTTACTCCAGGTTTGACACATCCATAGTCAATGCAGTATATACGTTAAGTAAATATATCTAAAGCCCACTAGCTACAACATATCCCTCAGATATACTCCGTACTGCATCGCTATTTATCATGTATGGTAATACCAATCTCATTCATCCAATTTCCAAAACCTGATGAAACCATCAGGGTCTGCGCTGACCAATCGACTCATCGTTCCAGCCCAAACTAAACTATCTGAACTGCAGTGGCCTATACCTTTCCTATCCTTCTCTTTCCAGAAGCACCATTTCTTATTCTTCACTAGATCATACACATCGAGTGTCCCCAGGGTAGTCTTCCATGCTAACTTTGTTCCATTGTCAAAAAATTGGACGTCCATCACAGAGGTGAGACTAAATCCCTCACGCTTTAACTCCCATTTACGAAATATAGGCCCTTCTGACGGAGAAGATAGGTCCCAAATACCGACTTCGCCTACCTGGCTACCCGCAGCGAGCAGATTGTTATCAGGACTGAAGGACATGTATCGCGCCCATCTAGTAACCTCTTCGAAGGGCGCATACTTTTCTTTTCCTTCAACGACATCATACACGAAAACTTTTGTCTTGGGGCTCCCCACGCTGAAGGCCAGATATCGCGAATCCAGAGACCATGCTCCTGCCCACATCTGTCCTCCGAAATTTCCGAATTCCCACTTCTCTTTTCCTTCGTGTATATCCCAGACTCTTACGGTTCCATCCCAGGCTGCAGAAGCCAGATATTTGTCATTTGGGCTGCATCCAACCCACATAATGGCATCGGTGTGTCCTCTAAACTCCCATTTGACCTTGGAAGTGGCAATGTCGAAGACGTTTATGGTGGGAAGATCTTCTGGAAGGCGCATCTTGGATTGAGTAGTGTCATTATGCGTTGAATAGAAAATGTATGAGCCAGAGTGGTTCCAGGATGAGGAGTTGAAGTGGCACAAGCCTCCATATATGACTGGGCGATGGGCGACTGTGAGTCTATCAATCATAGTTGAGACAGCGTTGTTTAGGTTCGAATCTAGCTCTTGCGATATTTCATGGCCTAACTCCCAATCTTGAGCTGAGAGCTCATCACTTATAAAGCTTTTCACCTTTTGTGTGAAAAGGTTCGGATCTGGTAGCTGTCTTGGTGGCTGGAGGTCTTTGCCTGTGGATGAAAGGTACCAGAAGATACACACCTGGTCCCGGCCGTTCGGGAGATGAGCGTTTGAAAGGAGCGTGTACTTGGCATTTTCAACACTAGTTTCAGGCACACCATCGGGGCCTATGACAGGTCGAAATGATATAGTTCCAACTTTCTGATGATGCCCGGATAGTGTCTCAACCAGCTCTCTTGAAGGAACCGCATATATTCTTATGGTAGTTCCTACTACCACAGCAAGGAGGGCCTCATCTGGGCTTAGGGCTATGGATATATTATTATGTTCGAGGTCTTTAGCATCCAGTTTAAGATCGATATTTTTGTCTTCTTGGCCCCAAGTCGCTGGTTGATTTGATGCCCATGTTGCGGGGTTACCGTCTGGTCCCTTGAAATCTGTGGCGACTTCGTAGACAAAATTGTCTCGTTGTTCTTGTGCGGTTATGCGCATTGCTTACTTGGTTAATACTTTCGATGAAGTAGATATCTTTACTATACGTATGTTCTGTTATTATACTTTTGAAATATGGATACGTGGCTGTTTTCTTGCTGCTATTTTACAGGATGTTTGGTAGTTGCCTGAAATGATCAGAACGATGACGTGGTTTCTAAATGGATATCCAGGGGGTAATCTGTAGAAGAGTCATGTGAGGCTTTATACCACTTATATTCGTTAAATGAGAAATAAATATCTGTTTTAACCCTCTAAGGCTTTGATTGAGTTGATCAGTTAGCCGCCGTTATTCCTCTCATAGCATCTCTATTGGATATATGGCTGCCATTGGTCCTCGCACCAGCTCCAGAATTCCCTTCCTTTCCCTTCGTCCAGGGCTTTGTATATATCTTCCCTGAAATGTCGCTTTAGGAATCTTCCCCACGGAATCACCAACCCACCATTCTCCTCCGCTCCGATATCTCCTGAGAGACCAGCATATAGCTATGTGTATGCACCTAGCTTAGAGTCATGCAGTACTAGTTTCAGAAGCGCCATCGTATACCGCGGCACGTGTTTGTAAATGAGTGAATTGAGATTCCCGGGATTTTGCACGATACTGATGATTCCGTCATTTCCATAGCGTCGGGCACACTCATGAGCAAGCATCCAGTTCCCAACTTTGGACGTAGCATAATAGAAGTTACTGTCTTTCCTGGCTTCTGCGCTCAGCTCTAACTCCTTGAAATCAATGCCGCCCTTAGGCGACATTGACTCTGCTAACCAGCTACTTGTCCAGACGATCCTAACACTATCTTTTGGCGCATTCTTCGCAGTATTTTGCAGCAGTGGGATTAGCTCCGTGGTGAATAGTAGTGGTCCCACACAATTGGTTCCCAACTGCTTCTCGATACCTTGTTTGGTCTTCCAACCAGGTGGGACGCCACCTACACCGGCGTTGTTCCATAATATATCCAGCCGGGATTCCTGCTCCCGAAATGCAGCAGCAGAAGCTTTGATTGTCGTTAGATCATCGAGATCGAGAAAGAGGTACCTTAGGTTTGCGGCTTTTGAAGGATCGTTTGCGGTGATAAGTTTAATGGCCTCTTCACAACGTTCTCGGGAGCGACCCGCCATGTATATCTTTGCGCCTGTGGGATACAGGATCTTGATAAGTTCAAACCCAACTCCACTGTTTCCACCTGTTACCAAGAAGACTCTGCCGACTAGATTTGATGAGGTCTTTCTCGGTGAATGTTGGTGAGGGGGGAACCATTGTGTATACCAGCTGTGTATCGCCTTCAGAACCATTGTAATTGTTTATTTTACGAATTCATAATTATCTATTGAGCGACGAGAAGAGGGGGATATTATACCTTTGGAATTGCGCCAAGCTCAGCTGAATATAATTATATGTAAAAGCTAACGAATCAAGAAAACCAGTTTGATTAGAAATGCTAGCTATACTTTCTATACGTAGCATTTGGGATGCCTAAATTCTTTCAAGGGGAATAGGACCAACGTGATTGAGAGGGCTAGTTACGTATTGCACCGCAATCTAAATGGTAGAGGTAGTCCAGTAGAATGCGCCTATAACGAATCAAAGGGATAGAAATTGGCGATTACTGTTTACGTACCTCGTAAGGAGTTTTTGCCAGGCTGATGGGCGGATAGAGTGGTTTAACGCACATCGCATCAACAACATCCGAACTGGTGTATCGGTAACATATCCGCCTCTCAAGGCTAACTTGATGGTCTCAGTCCGCGGTTGCGCGGGGTTCGACTCCCCGGTTCGGAATATATTCCAGAACCATCCAAGAAAACTTGGATAGTCGCTTCTTTTTTTTCTTTTTTTGAATCCTTTTTTTTAGTTCTCAAGTGCCCCAAGTCGTTGGTTTGTTTTCGAGTTTTAATTGAAAGGAGCCGAAGCCCAATCCAATCACCCCAGCTCCTTTACTCGGTTCTTTTCAGTCGTGTAGCTGCTAGGCGATTCGATGGCGTATTAGGAATGTATGGTATCGTTTGGTCCGGGGTTTGAGCAGCCTTGGAGAGATAAATTGTTGATTTGCTGGCAGAAATTCTAGCTACTTATAGTCAAATATATCTAAGAAAAGCTAGTTCTACTTTTGGAATTGGTTAAGTAGGCGCCTTTGACTCTGGGCTTACACACAATGATTGCGATGACTGAGTTTACTGGCAAAACTATAAACAATTGGGTCATATCTAGATAAATATATACATTGAAAATATCAAAATTTATGAACAAATCCAAAGCAAATCCACGACGTCTTGCTACTGACTGCCACCCACTTCTGGTTTATTTCAGTTTAACACTGGCCATCAACGTTGCAGAAGTTCCTATAAAAATGGTCAATATTGACTCTCCCGATAAGCAGATGATACCATTGAGTAAGATTGCATACCATGAGATGCCGACAACGCTGTAAGCGGCACCGTTGGTTAAAGCTTCCCAAGCAGCAACGGAGAGGTCGAGGTGGTTCTCATCGCAGCCTGGGCAGGTATCCTCGACGGTAACTACGACTTGGTTGCCTTTTCCTCCGATGGAGTTGTCGGTGGTTGGCCCAGTGTTTGTAAGTCTGATCTTTCGGCCGCAGTACGGACCTGGAGACTCATTTTTCATCCAGTAGTTGCTGATAGCAACGGTATAAGATGAATCGGGACTGTCGATGCCGCAAGAGCCAAGGGCGCCAGTTGGGTTGGGGTTTACAGTTGCTTCACCGTTGTGGCTATAGGATATAGCTTAGTATAAGGCAGGTGTCCATGTGGACAAAGTGTGGACAAAGTGTGGACATTAGGAATTACTCACGTTATACGTCTCTCCAGCTCAGCTGAGGGTACAGCGCTTGCTAAGCTAGCAATGGCCGTAAGGGCGAGGACAGAGTACTTGGCAAGCATTCTGATGTTTACTGGTTGCGGTGTTGTGGATGCTGGTTATATGTCTTTAATGCTGGTGAAAGAGTTTGGAAAGCTTTAAGTTTCTCGATATTGATAACTGTTTATCTGGAGAATGGACAGATGGACAGCGAAAGACTCTATGTATTTATACATCTCAGATGAAGGATTTATGTGGTATTTGAGTCTAGGATGTCCTATGGTGACATACGGAAGAAGTAAAGACCCCACGTCTTCCAACCGTTTGATGCCTCATCTTGAGCAAGTTTGAATATTGGTTAAGCAGCTTATTCTTCGTGTACAATATTTGGGATGTGGGAGTGGGCTAATCATTCATTAACCCGTTACATGCCACTCCGGATGTATCTTTGGAGTAGTAGTGCATATATTAAACAATCCTTGACTGACGAGGGAAAAATTTTAGCTCTAAAAAACATCTCCTAGATTGGTCCTTAACTGCCCGAAGAATCTTATGGAACATCTACCTAAGGTTACCCTCTATTCCATGCCCGTTTATGAACGAGGCCCTCGCTCCAACCTGCTGATATGCAATCAGGTAAAACATCCTGGATATGCTTAGTATGCTAATATTGAGAAAACTACTGGTGATTCCAGTGAATGATAGCACCATTTGCAACGTTGTGTGCTGGATTCAACCAATCCTAGAGCGCTGGCGGCGTGCGTGCTCCTGTAAAATTTAAAAGTAGTTACTGTATTACGCACGAGGAATTGGTAGCGAAGCTGGTTGCCTTTTCTGACACTGAGATTGAAATTTAGGAGCTGTAACCCTGTGTAGTCGGGATCGCCGGCATGCAAGGGAGCTAGATCGAATTACGCCCAAAGAGCTAGTGAGCCCTGGATCCAAACCGCCGCAATATGCACGAGCTCAAACTCCAGTTCGGACGAACGTGCCATTTTTAGTGTTGAACACTTCTCTAGCATGCGCGAAAAAGGAAAAGAAGGCATTAGTGAGCATCCGGCCGGATGATATTATTGATGGAATTTCTCATTCCTGGGCGGCAGATTTTGACTGGGAATAGTTACACAAGGATTGCTGGGCCTGAATGTGACGGAATAGGATCGAACCTTGAAGCGGTCTTACGGCTAGTGGACATGGATATTGAACGGTTCGATGACAACTGCTAGCACTTGAATTGCACGACGAATGAACTGATCATGCTATGACATCGGGAAGATTACGCTATTCAAACGCATTATGTGTGTAAAAACCCAGAAACGGGCCTGAAGCTTGGATTTTTAATATATCTAGACCATACGGAGCAAAGTAATTGGAGTAGAGGGTTAGGAATCTACCTTCTGCTGTGAATACGACACGCCTACCGGGCTGACCGGCGATTTAGCGCCTAGACCCACCATCAACGTTGCAACTATGGTATAGTATATTGCCGGGCAAAAGCTTAACTGAAGCAATTGAGCGTAAATTGCAATGGGCTAGGAGTATTTCTCCGTTAACTATGCAGGATTACGAATTATACATAAGCACCCTAAGGTAATAATAATGAGCCGGATTAGTAGACTCCAGACTAAATTTAGGTGTTATCGGTGACCGGAATGGTGTGGTAACGTTAGCTAGATCCAACGGTAGTTGCCATATTAGTTGCCTGCTCACTACTTTTTGGGACATGCTTGCGTGAGGTAGACAGGTTGTGGGATAGAGGAGACCCACCGTAGATGCTGGCCGTCTGGCACGCCGAGTTTGTACGCAGTATTACTGGTATGAGAATATATTGACTGCCACCCACGGGTTGCATTCGGCTCTATTAGTAAGGAAAAGCCAGGGCGCAGTTGAGAGAGGGAAGTGTTATTAGCGAAGGCTTAGCTCTCTAAGCTCTCTATAGAAAGTGTACTGTACCCTGTTTGCCTGTCACCCCCACATTAGAGGGATTCAACTACTATGGAGTACGTGTCGCGAGATTATTTCGAATATCACCACCAAATCATATGATGTGGAGTAGACTGACGCGTTTCATTACCGTGGACATTGTGCTCAATCCTCCTCCACCTCAAAACAGGACCTAGTCCACATAGAAGAAGAGAAAGGGAAAATCTATGACCGGGTTAAAAGGTAGCTTCTTCAAACCACGAAAATAACTCCTGGTATACTGTTGGTTGATCTTGAAGCGGAATATTTGAACTAACAGATGGAGCAATACCTCGTACATCTTCGGTATACGTCGGACGTCCTTGTATCGGCGGATATATCGACCTTTCTTGTATACTGGTGGCCAACCTGTCTGTTGAGGGATCGGTTAGCCTTTCACTGGCAGTTATCTGCATCTTCTCGCTAGAGAGCAGTCTTGAAACAACCGCGCCTAATTGCACAACCATTCTGTAACAGTCTTTCGCGGACTCATTTCCCCCATCCCCGACTCTATGCAGATAATCTTCTAGAGACCTAGTTATATCAGAGTCACCTGTTATACCGGTGTAGGAAATAAGTCTCGTAAGTTGGAGAATAATAGCAGCGGTGAAAGCATAGTGGTAGTCTAGTGTAGCAAACACTGTTGTCTGATTGCTCGTCAGGAGTTGACGATTTAGGATGGAATTTTGTCGAGCAGCCTCGGTGCAGTATTTGGCTTCTACGGAGTATAGATCGGGAGACCGATCATTTTCAACGGCAATATATTTGGTGGCCACTGCCCGCTTAGCTGCTATGAATAATAACGGTCGAGTACAGAGTATTTTGAGCTATTCGCGAGGTTAGTTTTGATACTGTACTGTGTACTAGGGCTGAAAATAAGTATTTACCTGGTTGTACATCATATGGAGCATTAGACATGCTCTATCTGGATTGGTATTTCCGTGAAATTGTAAGGAAGGAGGAAGTTTATCAAGCCAGGCGGATAGCTTCTGCATCAAATTGTGTATCCGTGGAACCATTTCAGATATAACTCGTGCTCTTTCATCTCCATACACTTTGTTGACAATTTCATCCATAATTCTCGATAATTCTATATGAGCTCGAAGTCCAGAGGCGGGTGGGACATTGGACCCGGGCTACAAAGTCAGAGGCGAGATATAGTATTAGTGAAGTATGGGGCCTACAAAATCTGTTGGCATCCTCACATCAACAGCCTCTTCTGGTATCATGGGAGGCCTTCCCATTAGACAGCTGAGCCACCTGGACATATTGTATGTTTAATGTGAACAGCTCATGTCCGGCTTGGAAATGGCTTACCGGTCAATGATGTAGGTATTCCAAAACTGTCTCTTATTCTTTTCCCCAGTTTCTCCTTGGTCATCAATCATGTAACCTTTATGGAGTCCGTAAATAATTGCTGTCCTTCCAGCCAGTCCAATGTATAGGTAAGCTGCATCCCTGCGATATATACCAAGTAGATACTGTCCCATCAATCCCAGAATTCTCATATTAATCAAATTCGAGTCTTCTATAGGACTAATCAGTAACAATTTTGCACGAGCAAAATAGGTTAAGCCTGGATGAGCTTCCCAGCTGGGAGCCAATGTGGGATCGAATTGACAAGCAAGAGCCATAATTATATTGAGATTCGCTAGCATACGGGAGTCGTTGCTATTTAGCTCGGATATTTGTTCATATCTTAGAGCATAGCTTTCCAGTTCTGATAGATCGCTCCAATAATAGATCCCTCCACTTGCAGACGCTGCTTCATTCTGAGCATAGAATTGAAAGACAGAAAATAACCTGGCTAGTTCATCGTGAGGCGGCAAGTAAAATAGATCCACATCTGGCAGTATTAGTGGCTTCGAATCATGGGTATGGTATCTTCCGAGAAGAGACGTGAACATATTCTCAACAGTAGGGATTCCAGTTCTATCTGACAACAAGGGGAAAATCGTAGACACGAATTCGCGAAGGCGATCCATAAATGCAGCACCTGATGG